AGCTGCGGCGGCCCCGCGAGCGCGCCCTGTTTGTTAGAAAACTTTGTTGTTTGTTGCAGTTCAGCACCTTTGTTCGTAACGTCCCCCCCTCCCGACCTTGCGCTAATTAGAAAGTAAGGGAAAAAAAAAACCCAACCAAACCCGACCTTCCCTTAGGTGGCCGAGCGGGCGGGCAGTCACCCACAGGCACCCCCCCACACACACACGGACGAAGCAACCCGGCGCCCCTCGCTGCTGCTACAAACCAGAATACAGACCGCCCCCCAGCTACTTCAGAGCTTGGGAAACGTCATCTGAACCAGTGGTTATTTATTTATTTACTATCAAGTCTATTTCGGCTGAAAGCAAAGGGAGGCGAAGAGGGCAGACGCAAGGCAGCGCGGCCGCTGCTCTCCCTTAGGCACGCCCAGGTAAAGCCGGTTTAAGCTCTCAGGTACCGCTTCCTGGACATGCCGTTTCTATAGGCCTTTCCCATACTTGTGCAACACAACGAAGGTCTCAAAATACTGCAGGCGGGTGAAGACACGTCGCTGAAGCGAAGCAGCATTGCCAGCCCAGGGAACACGTTCAAGGGGTATATGAGAACACGCCCAGGTCCAAGCAGCGAGGGAACTGCCCATCATTTAAGCGTGGCAACAGACTGGTAACTTCGCTAGCACACCACATCTCCTCTACCTTTCTACTTTCTGCCAAAGATCTCCCAGAAGTCATCCTGTAGTCATCACACATGCACCCGTACCAGGCATGATGGGTTCGTTAGGAGGCTACACTCCCACTTCTGCCCCTGTGTCATCCCAGAACTGCTATGGTCACAGAGCAAGGAAAGCCACCAAAGCATGAAATGCATCACCCTTTTCCCTCCTTGCAATCTTCTCCTGCTCCCATAATTCTCCTTGGTTACACCCTAATACACCCTTTCTTCTCCCATTTCTTGCATACAGACTCTTGCCCCTGTTTTACTCCATTGCTTATAAAAGATCTTTAAAAAAAATTCCAACATCTCTTTAATGAACAAAGCAAATTACTAAATAGGCTTTTATAAAGCTAGTGAAATATTTTTAAAGTAGCATCACAAGTAACCAAACTTCCAGTGCTCTGCAGCAGCAAAATAGGTTCTGTTCGGGGTAACATTATTCTCTGCTTTAACGTGAGATTGTATGCAGTTTTACTCCTTCATCAGAATAAACCCCCCCCACCCACACCCACCCCCCCAAAATCCCCACAAACTCCCATCATAGCCCACGCTTCTTCAGGCAGTTTTTAGGATTATTCTGGAATGGTGGGAACAGTAGCAGCTCAAAAGAACAGAAGCCATCTCCTGTAACACCAAGCACTTCAACCAACCCGACTGGCAGAAGATGCTGGTGGATGCCTCCCTCCCAGGCAGAGTGTCCTCTGGTCAGGTGCGATGAGATCATATCACCTGGTGGAAGCCCAGGCCTACCTCAAAGAAACCCCCCAGGTGCTTGCTGCTTTGTTCTAGATATTTGGAAATTAATGACCTTTTGTGGGAAAGGCTTGAAATTAAAACATCCACCGCAATTGTTATGCTATGATAAGCAAACCACATAGATATTTTCATGCACATTTCTGTAACTGCACACTTAAGCTCCAAACATGGTAATAAGGGAGGAATTTCTCTTTTCATATATAGAAAAAAATTACTATTTCTTCCAAGCACTTTTTGTACAAAGAGTGATGTGCGTATTCTTTCTTCATTTTAAATTTATACCAAGAGGAAGAAAAAAATAAAGTAGAAGGATTAAAATGAAAGCAAATCTTCGAACTCTTAGAAGCATTTTTCTTTGCAACTCGGAACTCAATTTTTTCCTCATGCAATAAATTTGCAAGTCAAGGACATACCAATTGCATATTGCAGTGACAAATTTATTTAAAAGGGAGGAAAGCATTCTTAGTGAATAATCCTGATGGGGAAGAAAAGTCACTGTCTGTATATGTTTACATCTGCATTCCCCAAAACAGGAGTATCGGTCACACTACCTGTTCAAAACAGCTTTCACATCTTTGATTTGGTTTCCCAAACTCAGAAGTTAAGCAGAGGTTAGAGTGATATGAAAGTACAGAGGCCCTACCTAAGTCACTGGTAAGAGGGGGATTAATGTCCTGTTTCCTCTTTTTCTCATACAAGCATTAGAAGATAAGGAAGCAGGCCTTTTAAGTCAGCCAGGACTTCAGGAACACTGCAATACTGCAGTGCAGGAACCTGAATAGACCAGGAAAAAAGCAGGAAACTGATTAATTAACTGCGGGGGGAGGCAAAAACACCAGCAAAGGTGACCAGTCACATGGTAGCTTGAGAGGTTTTTTACCTACTTGTTTTGATAATTTTGTGGTAGTAGAAGGCTTACTGTATACTTTATTAGACAGACTGGGCCTGGAGAGTATCTATAAAAAGCTTTTACAGTTGCATAAGACTCATCCTTGACTCTTTGTCCACTTTCTATCATCCCTCTTGTTACTTTCTAGCAGGGCAAGTCAGACTTCCTTGGCCAAACTCACAGTACTTTTTCCTTTAAGTGCACAGTATTTAAAATGCTCATGTTTGAAAAAGAGGCTGATTTACACTGCATGAAACCAACAGAATAACAGTCATTACGAGCTACTTTACATTCTAGGGCTTATGTTTTATCTTGTGTAGAAACATCCCAGTATACCAGGAAACAGTGCAAATTATAGGGTTGCATAATATAGTAGCATTTTACTCACATAATAAGGGTTTTTTTGAGGAATTATGTGCCTACAGACTATATGAACCTCCTTTCAATACTCTGTAACTTATCATTACAGCCAAGCTGACAGAGAACCTGACAGTTTAAGATAAAGAAACTTCCCTGCCCAACCAACCGTAATTAAGATCAACATTTTTTTAAAAAACAACACAAGACAGAAAGAACTAAGGTTAAAAAAAAATGAACTGCCTCAAAACATTAGCAGCTACCAAGCAAAAATAGCATTCTGAGGACCCAAGGATTTTCACTGTCTAATCTACTGTTTAAAGAATATCTATATAAATGCATATGACGTTCCAATAGGAAAAAGCAACAAGACTCCATTCCTTCATATAATGGTACCTTTTTGCAGATGTTCTAAATAAAAAATGAACAATCTATCCTTGCTCAAAAAAAAAAAAAAAAAATTGCAGCGCAATCAATTTTTGGAATTCAGGAAAAAAAGAATTACAAAAAGCTCCACTTGGCAATGATTAGATGCATTCTATTCTAGATGGTCAGCACTGAGGTGCCAGGAGAGAAACAAACAAAACACTAAAAAAAAATTACCCGGGTTACTCACAGGTAGCACACCAGACCTAACCTCCCACTACTCTGAGCCTTTCCTTCCAAATGTAGAGAAAACGCACTCCCCACTCTGTTTGTCCTCCTCGTGTTTTGGCAGTTAGTATTAGTATGCAGAGGTGTTACCACGGCCTTCACTTTTCAGTGTAACTAGGCACCAAAAGAAAACTGACTGCATCTTGGACCATGTACAACTGGCAGGATTCAGTCAGAATGACTGCTCCAATTCCACAGAGTAAGCCACAACAATCTTTCAAGTTTTTTTTCTTTTTCTTTTTTTTTTTTGCATATAAACATCACCAAGACTCAAAGATGCACCTGCCAGTTACACTTGCAGCTACCTTTTCAAAGCAGCCGTTCAGCAGGCATGTGATTCATATGACAGATGATGAAATGGCCTCCTCTTCTCCCAGCAGAAGCACTCCAAAACCCTAACACCACCTTCCCACCTTGCAAGAGCAACCGTCAACAGCAAGGGCTGCTGGGCAGTCCTACAAGATGCTGTGAGTTGATGATGGTACAACACATCCTTGCTTAGAACACAGCAGCAAGCGGGAAGAAGTTGTACAGATTTTGGACCCTTTTAAAAGTAGAAGGGATTTTATAAGTCCAAGCACTTCTAGCACAATGAAGCCATTGAAAAGTATAAAATTGAAATCACAACAGTATCTTAATTAAATGATACAAGGTTATTTTCTTTACTAGGTACTGCATGTAGAGAAACATGAAAGTGGTATCACTGTTTGTTATGTGAAGTTTTTATCTTGTACTGTAGATTAACTACTCTTCTTGTGCTACAGTACTAGCAGGAATAAAAAGGATTACAAGATGACAGTGAGATGCATTTTGAATTCCTGCTAACAAGAAAGAAAAAACCCTCACACAATTGTTTTTTCAGGATTTTTATTGGAAAACATTAGAACCAAAAAATTACCAAGGCCAGTTTTACAATAAATTTAAGACATACAGAATGGTTTACCTGCTATTTAGGTTTAGTGCAGGAACCTTATTCCAATATTTTTCTCATGCAATTGCTGGATTAAAATCACATTCTCATTTAACATCAAAATGGATTGCTAATAATGCTTTCTTATGATTTAACCTTAAAATCCGGTTTAAAAAGTCAGTTTTGAAAAGGTTAAAAACATTTACACAGCAAGATTCCCCCCTTCACAGACCAGCTAATACTTGCCTGTGTCTGATAACTGGCAGAACAGACCACATAGCTCATTTTTCCTTTTTGTTATTCTAACCTGAGAAATTTCTTAAATGCTTCTTACTGGGCTTTCATATTTGGCAATGTCACTTTCATTACATAGCAAAGTGTGATTTCTCATTCTTGTCAGAGACCAGTCTTTCACTACTTATCCCAAAAGACACTCTCACAAACAGGAGTTACATTAGCATAAATCTGCTTCTGTGAATAGTATGCCCCTTTGGCAAGTTAAACCTTGTTAGTAATACCATCAGAACACTAACCTCAGGATGTCAAGTTCCCATCAGTTGTGTAATTCCTAGTATTGTGCGCTTTGAAAATATTTACTTTGGCATGTTATACTTTGTAGCATAGAGAAATTGATTTTTTGTGCTTACTCCCAGCCTTATAAAATCTGTCTTTTCCATTTATTCAAGCCCTTTTCCTTGCCACCAGTTATCTCCCTTTCTCATAGCTGCAACAGAAACAGGACATAAAGCACAGAAACACATTTAAAATGTGAGATCAAAAAAAGTTGATGAGCAGCAGACAATGCAGTCTTGTAAAACACTTTTAGTTGATGAATGAGCTTGTAAAACGCAAACCCCATAAATCTTTTGGTAGAGCATCCAGGCCTCCAATTTTAAATTTGTAGATTTACTTATATTTCATTTCAAACCTTCCACCATTCAGTGTTTTACTACATTTAAATGCACTAGTCACTTCATACTTGCTCCCAATATACAGAAAACCAACACTGTCTAAAGAAGAGATGAAAAACCACTTGAAACAAACAATTTAACTTCCAACAAAATACAACTTCTTTTGCATTTTCAGTAAATTTGTATGTTAAATAATTTGGCTTATTAAAAATAGTTGCATTTCAGTTTTACCTAAACTTATCTGATTTGCAAGTGAACCATGATTTCAGCAGTTACCACTCCCGTCTGACAGACTAAATTTCAAGAGAATATATCTATATAGACTAGAGTTTTGTTTGCTTCATACTTTGCCTATTAAAAACCATTATGCTAACCATGGAGATCAATGAAGTACTTGATTTGAAAGGTGAGAAGTTACATATCCTGAGAAATGGCTGGATTTTTCTGTTTGTTTCTGTGTAACTCTGGTCATTACTGTACTAAAATTAATACTGAAATGTTCTGGGTTTTCCACTCCTCTGCTGACTAGTTTTAAAAAAATGTTACAGGAGATTAATACGAAATAAGATGTGGACAGATACCGTACACAGCTGATGCATGAAAACCTCTTATCCTACCATAGTTTGCTGTCATTTTTGATCCCAAAAGAGGAAACGACAGACTCTGGATTCTCTTTAATGCATTCATAATCCTAAATTTTTATTTTTCTACCCATTAAAAAAACCGTAAGGAGGTAACTTAATTATTTTGATAAACCTTAGTTTCACATACATTTTTATTATTATATATTTAAACTGTATTTTCTATATCAGCACTGAGTGCACTTTAAAAAGGACCTCTGTTGAAATATCTCCAACAGGTCTTTATAGCACCATATAATCTGCTGCTGATTTAACTGCTTAAAATCAGACTCTTTGTGGCACTGCTTCTACAGAAAAATTATTACATTCTTACTTACTCTGGCATTCTAAAAAAAAAATCTAGAAGAAAAAGTTTATGTTACCCAACTGAATGCATGTAACAGTTAATTACTAGACACTCCATTTTCACTTATTCCAGTTTTGTGCAACTGATCAATGAGTTGCTACATGATTCCTCTGGAACAGCACTTTTTAATTCAGTAGCAGAAAAATCTCATGGACGCATTGAATGAAGTGTCTCTCACTCTTCACTGAATATTGAAAGTTTCTTTTTACAAGATTTGATGCTGCCCCTTCTATTATAGCTCATTTTCAAGTCATACTAGAGAAAATTAGTGACAAACACAAGAGGCCAAGTACTGGCAAGCCACAGTACAACACAATAGGAATAGCAAGGGGATACAGAGGCAAGAGGAAACCAAGGTACCCGGAACAAACTAGAAATACAGTAAACGCAAGAGAGCATCTTCACTCTACAGCAAATTTTACATTCTTTCAATACTTAGTTTGTTTTCAGCTGATACACAATTCAGAATTTATTCAGAATTAAAAGAATACACAATGTGATTAAACATGAAGTACATGAACTATTCACGTGCTAACAAATGCTGCCATTGCTTTTTCACAGGTAAAACTGAAGCAAGTGTGTCAGAATGGCATTTGGTTGAAATTAAAGTAATGCTGGTACTTCACCATTTTTGATAATCGTTACCTAGAACAGTCAAAGTCAGTGACCATCTACTCAACGTTGCATGAGCCTCGTTTTCCAAATATGAGTTCCAGTAAGTGGAAGTACGAATGAGATCAGTTTGAACACATTATGGAGATTTTTAAACTGCATATTTCTGAAGAAAGCGGTCAAATGCATCATAAATCGCTTGTCTAAAACAAGGGAAAAAAGAAGATAATTTGTAAAATTTGGGAAAGGACAGATATAGAAGTGGTATATTTCCATATATTTACAAAGCTATCATCAGAATTTCAAAACAGCATTCAATAAAAACGTGGTATTAGATGGTCTTTTCTCCTTCGCTTATTTCTGGATCTCTCACTTCAATCCAGTAATATATTTATGTTTCAGGAAGGAGTGGGACTGTTTATCAACTTATACAAATGTTAATGAATTAGTGCAAATGTTAATGAATTAGGAGTTTTCTACACAAACATGTCAGGAAATGGGTCAAAGAAACATGCATAATTTATAATTTTTGCGCAACTGTCATAAAATAAGGCTGAAGCTTTAAATAGCATTAAGCTAGTGGTTAGCGTACCTTGACCGGGTATATTGCTATTCCTTTTTTGTTGTTGCTTAGACTTCCTAAATGGGATGTACACTCTTACTAATCCCTTATATTTTAAATTTAACAGCACAAACATTTAACTTTTCAAAACTAAGGCACTGCATTTATATAACTGATTTATATAACTGTCTTCAGAAAGTCAATTCCTAGTACTGCTAAGGCAAGAATTCATGCAAGTACTACGCATCTGCAGTCAAGCTTATATTTTAATTCTCATCTTCAGTTGTGAGGTTATTTTAGTTCTCAGAAGACATTTGCAAAAACACTACCACTGCACAGCACAACATAAGCAGTCACTGCTTAAAAATGATTTTCTAGCATCCAGTGAACAGACTTAACTAAAAGCTTTTATAAGAAAACAAGAGTGAGAAGGAACATTCTCTTGCCATTGGCTTACTGAACAAGGGGAGTTATACTGCACCTCATAAAATGGAAATGCTGACATTCTCTTTAAATTATTTCAGATCCGATAACTTGTTCTTCAAGGCAGTATTTGGTTTTTGTGGCTTTAGAGTAATTATAGACTTGCTTTTAGAAAAAAAAATATGGGTCTCAAAATCATGGTTCTCAACTATTTTTAAACTTTCTTCTTTACCTTACCTAAAGAGTCCTTGTTTGAAAAGGTAGGCACTGACATGACCTCCATCCAGATATCTGATTTCACATCCAGGCCAGATTTCTTGAAGACTGCGCACCCCAGTTCGAGGAATATATGCATCTTCCTTAGCTTGTACAACTATGATTAAACTTGGGTCAACGGGAACTAAAGAAAAACAATCAAAATTTAATTAATCTATGGTAAGAAATAGAAACATGTCAGCTGCTCTCTAGTTCTAACACAATTAAAATTATTCCAAGCTTTAATAAAGTTGTATTTTCTAAAGTCTCCAGCAGAATATATTTGGGTTTTGACATTACAGTAGTGTGGCCATCCCCTTCCCTCCCTTAAGGCAGAAAGTTCACAAGTCTTTAAGGAATGATAGGAGAATTGTCTTTCCTCTTCTCAACAAAACTCTACAGCATTCAGGTAAGTTTTCCGAGATCTCTTTTTTTTCAGTGAGAAGAACTAGGAGACATCTGAAATTCGATAGCACAGAAGCTTCATAAATTTTTTTCCCCTCAAGGAGAGGAGAAAAGGCAACTTTTCATATGAAAGGTCAAAGTGCAGTGTTTACTTTCTATGCTGCTTCCTATATGTTTTAATTACCACATAAAAATCCCAGCATATTGTTACATATATATTTATTACTCATAACCAGAATTGCACCAATCAGATTACTGACTCACAGGAATAACATCAAAATTATGCTAAACACAGAACAGCTCTCCTCCACAAAGAATATATGTGCTACGGTAAAGAGTGACCAGCCAAGATATTTGACAGTGGGGTGTGACAAATAATTTAAAGCCTCTCCTTTCATATATACTAGATCATGTATAGAGGGTATGTAATGCTAAGATAGGTTCGGGTCTTCCATTCAACCTTCCATGGAATCTGAATGTTAGGCAGATTTTCTGACATTCGTCTCTAGACATGCTCCAAGGATACCCTAGCAGGGGATGCAATGTTTGCCAGACCATGGAGACCTGTGAGACAATTGATACATCACTTTGACAAGTGCATTAGGATCACAGATCCTCTTTAAGTTTCAAGACAGGTCAATGCTTTAGCTAAGTGATACCTGGATAAGTGTCTAGATATACCAGAATGTCTGTACTTAGAATAAAGCTTACAGGGTTTTTTTTTCCTGTATACTGAAATAACTTTTAAAGCTTTCAGGAAAGCACTTCACTGGTATTTGTCACAGAACAACCCCAGCTAGCAGTGATCTGGGACACTGTCCAAGTCAAGAAATCTATGCTAGTGTATAAATCTGGATATTTGGGCTTTTTTGACATTTACCAGTGGAGTACTGAATGACAGAATTAAAAAATGAGGTGGCACAGGGTCTCAGGATCAAGAATGTTTTGACATTCAAAGACAACTCTTGTCAGAAACCTGTCTGAAATTGAAGTATGTTCTAGTACATGCTGAGAATCCTCAGTGGGTACACACACAGTTGAACCATTTTTCTGAATGGACGACCACAAAAGCAATTCCAAGCCCTCACTTCCAGCAAAACCCTTTCAATCAGCTTTAAGAAGAAATCACTTACTGCGCTGCCTGCAAGTGGGCCACTGAAAGGGATTTGTCCTAGCTGCCACAAAACCCAGGTTCATCAGAGTTAAGGTTTGCTGGGCTACAGCTCCCTCTGCATGCTACCTATGCCTGTCTTGGGAAACACTATACTCACCAGACCACATCATCCCAGAAGGACCTCTGTGCATTTTCACTGATCACACTTGTCTAAAAGTAGCATTTGGTTCTCAGCTATGTAGGCCACTCTTTATGTGAAGTCAGATTTCTGCTTTATGAGATTTACTTGAATCTGCCTGAAAACCTCATTAGCAGATTAATTAGATCTAGATAGTACCAACATCACACAGATGCTTTTTCTTTTGAATAATACAAATTGATACTAACTCGTATCTGAAAGTAGCCACAGCAAAGCAGGGAAAAATGAGCAAGGAAACTAAAAGGCAAATTTTTAATTCACTTTATCATTGTTTGCCCATTAAGAAGAACAAGAAAAACAATGAGGCAACGGAGTGATAAATCGATGCTACTGAATAATACTCAAGATATTTTCATATTTTAGCCAAGGTGCCAGCAGGTTTACACAATGGAGAATGAAAGAAATACCTTTCCTTCCATGATATTTTATTTAGTTTTCCAAACTGCACATTAAAACAAATATATCCATACCTGAGAAGTTAGCTACATGGGTACATTCATCCATTACTCCTTTCATGAACCTTAAGGATTCTCTCTGTAAAGTGTCACTCTTTCTTCTTTTATTTATCCTCTGTCCTTGTTGGCTGGTTAAGTTTTTATTGCTGTTGCTACTGGTTGAAAATGTTTGATTTATGCACTGCATTTTAGGAGCATCTTGTATTAAGAGTCTTTCTGATGAGGCACTTAAAGTACTTTTATTTGTGGTAAAGCTATGAACAGCTTCTGTAGATACAGTCTTGTTTGAGGAATCAAGGTCAAACATTCTGGAAGTCACGTCCACATCCTCCAGACTGTCCACACTGTCAGGGAAGTTTTTAACAAAGTCTTGTCCCATTTTGAAAGAATCCGTCTAAACAAAGACAACAGGTCATTTATTAAGAGTTTCTCTTTTAAACCAGTTGGTTAATCTTATTTTTAAGATCAACTCAATATGAAAAAAAAGAAAGAAAAAAAGCTATAAACAGCACTGCTCACGGTACTTATTTTCAGCCTTCATATCACTCAATTAATTAAATCCTGACCATCATAACCTCTTGATAATTTAATTCTACATTTCTGTCAGCTTAAAAAAATGTAGAAAGTACTTATATGTGGTAGCTTATGATACAAACATTTGTCTGTTTTTAATTCTGTATTAAACTGAATTTATAATTGCAGTAATTTAAGCTTAAATTTCTGGGCAAATAACTCATAAAAGCTATGCATTTTTCAGATTTTTTTCCCCCACTCTCAAAAGAGCAGTAATATCTTTTTGGCAAAGTATTAAAAAATTAACACTTACAGCACTTTTTCACAACATGAAAGATAGGCAATAGTAATAAACAGAGGTGCCCAGATCTAATGTTAGGTTTAGGACTGAAAAATCTACTGTCTATAATATTGGGAAGACACAAGCTGGAAATCTTGCATTGTTTTTTCTTTTCATGTTAGAATCATGGAGTCATTTAGGTTGGAAAAGACCCAAAAGATTACCAAGTCCAACCCTTAACCTGGCTGCCAAGTCCACCACTGAACCATGTCTAAGTGCCACATCTACATGTCTTTTAAATACCTTCAGGGATGGTACCACTTCCCTGGGCAGCCTGGGCTGTTTCTCTTGTCCTATCGCTTGTGACTTGGGAAGAGAGACCAAAACCACCTCACTACAACCTGCTTTCAGGTAGTTGTATTGTAGGTGGCCATGAGGTCTCCCCTCAGTCTCCTCTTCTCCAGACTAAACCCCCCCAGTTCCCTCAGCCGCTCCCCGTACGACCTGTGCTCCAGACCCTGCACCAGCTTCGTTGCCCTTCTCTGGACACGCTCGAGTCATTCAATGTCCTTTTTGTAGCAAGGGGCCCAAAACTGAACACAGGAATCGAGGGGTGGCCTCACCAGTGCCCAGTACAGGGGTCAGATCCCTTCCCTGTCCCTGCTGGCCACCCTATTGCTGATACAAGCCAGGATGCTCTTGGCCTCTTGGCCACCTGGGCACACTGCTGGCTCCTGTTCAGCCAGATGTTGATCAACAGCCCCAGATCCTTTTCTGCTGGGCAGCTTTCCATCCACTCTTCCCCAAGACTGTAGTGTCACATGGGGTGGTTGTGACCCAGGTGCAGGACCCAGCACTGAGCCTTGAAGACTTCTGTCTGCTCCATCAGTCTTCCTGGAGTTTATTTTACTTCAAAATGGCAAGCGCCTAAGTAACTACCTCCACCACAGCCCCTCTTCTCCTCTTTGAAAAAGGACTGTCACAAAGCAAAGAATCTTAGGAAAAAGGTTTTTTATCAAAATTGGCTAAAGACAGTGTTGCAACATAGGAGCAATTCTCAAAAAGTTATCACTCCAGTCTAGATGAGTGGCAAGGCAACAAAATTCCCCTTGGGAAGACTCTTTTAACCATGGTCAAAAAGAGTCAGGAAAAAGCAAAAAAAAAAAATGCAGACAATAAATTATATTTCATAAGGAACAAGAAAGTAATTACAAAAGTTCTACCTCATGTTTACTCCAACCTCCTGTGGAATAAAGTGTAAAGCTCAGGAAGGGCTTGCATCACACACAGAGACCTAGCACTTTAAACAAACTAGACAATAACTTAACATTGCTACCCATTAATAATATTCGACAGCATGGAATATTTGAAAGCAGTTACTTCAAAGGGCAATAAATCATGTTTTTATATTTGCATGCCTGGCTATTGGCTTTCCAGACTATAAAGCCAGCTACTGGGAAATATTATTTACAGTTTCAGTGTTTTGACTGAATTAATTTTATGTTGCAGATTACACTAAGTGTGGTCATGGAAAAAACTTGTATCATGGGCTATACTTACATTATACAATCAAAATATTAGCTTCTGTTTTTCGGAAGGATTTCCTTCAAAGATTAAATTTATCAAAACCATAAGGAAACAAGAGGCAAGCATGTTTTAGGTAACAACTGGCTACTTCTACTGGAAGTAAAAAGAAGTTACATTATTTGTTATTGCACATATAAACATTAACAAATAGGGAAAATAAACTATACTTACACCACAGTATTCAAGCATTTGAATGATTTCTTCTTCATAAACAGTTTGTGTAAAATACTGTTTCTCTAGCTCTCTCCAGTTCACTGCTTTGCTCAACACACCCTGAAGATTATAAACACAAGTGTCCAGTACACAAGTAAAACCCTGAGATCACTCTAAAATAATGATACACAGAAAATGTATCTGTTCCTCTCTGTAACTTGATTTTTCCAGTAGAATTCTGCTCAAGTTTCCAGATAACCCTTAGAATTACTGGAATCAAAGCATAAGCGCTTATTGTAACATAGGACATGGAAACCCACCACCTTTTAAAAAACAAGCTAAAAAAAAGAAAAAATAAAAGGAACAAAAAAAGAAGCAAAACCCAGTCCACTTAGGGCTTACACACACCTAGACTGGGCTAAACCAACAATGGGTGTCAAAGCCGGTCTATTCATTCACCTACCTCGGCAGCAGTAGTGAAAACATGGCAGTAGCAGCATTATTATATGACTACTTAAGTCAGGCTTTGTGCAGAGGAATACATGTTTTCACAGCTTGCTCCCTCACTCTCCCACATTCAGACCAGGACTCATTGTCCCACAGACCAGAGACCAGCCCCTAATGTGGTACAAGTCCCACTGCAGTAGCTCAAAGCGACCCTCCTTATCATTGGTTGTCTATTGTGAGCAGGAAGGGGGAGTTTGTCACTAGTCACTAATAGAGGCCGAAGGGTGATGAAATGCCCTAACTGAAAAGGTGAATGTGGCCAACCTAAACGTTTTAGCTTGCAAATCTGATTACATTCTACTATATATATTACCAAAAATAGATGTTAATTACCGTAGTGAAGACTGCAGAAGCTGTTGACCAGGAAAGACACGGAATCAATGGCAATGGTTTAGGCCAGTTTGTCACTGCCAGTGAAGCCATCTAGAATCAAAGGCACTTATTACACACTTTAATATGGAATTCACAATATGGTAAAAATAACTCTCTCACCTTCAATGTATTTGTGACAATGAAGGACTGTGACAGTTGGATATACTTTCACCTATATAGAAGATACAGACTACTCTTCATTATTTCCCTAACAATAAACATTGCTCTGGATAGGACTAATTTCAAGGCTGAATGTTTTGGGTTTTTTTTAATAAGAATTCCCAATGGAATACTTATTCTGAGCTTTTACTTGTTTAGAACCATGAAAAACATCTGTAAAGCCTTTCCATCAAGCTCCTGCAGGCTTATTTCAAGGCAAAATGAAAGCAATCTACAAGGACTATTAAAATTCTATACATTTAAAATTTGCATGCTGGAAACAAAATGTGGAGGAAAAGTAATTCAGCATGTCGACTCTTTTCCTGTCCTTTAAAGTTTAAATTATCACTTTTTCATCAGTTCTCAGAACACAATTTTGTGAATATTCTGTTCATCCCAGAAAAAAACAGAGCAAAGAAGCTCAATGTACACAAGTTCCCTATATGGTATGCTCCTGACAAGTTTTATTTTATTGCTCTAAACTGAAAATACTGTAAACCCCTTTAAAAAATACCCCATGTCTGTGGATGGATACAACTGAACTATAATTCTATTCCAATTATTTCTTATTAATAAAAAGTTACAAGAACACCACATATCTATGTGCTGGTAGCCAGAAAGTCTGACTTTTCTTCTTAGCTCCAGCTCTCCCTATCAGTAGAACTGAATTATTGCTACCTACCTTCTGTTGTAGAACACATTCTACAGATGATCAACAGTAAATATGATTTATTTCCCCGGTTTTAAATTCTATCAGAAGACCTATAAGTAAGTCAGGACTAGCTGAAAATGTATCTTCCTGGACTAAGAAAATTTTCAAAGTAGTTTCCAAACTCACTCTCCCAGATACTGCCTCCTTCTATACCCCCACTGTGTATGACCCCTGGTATAGGATACAGTGCTCAATTATTCCCATAGCATCTGCACAGCATTGAAGTGTCCTGCAGAGTTAGTGGTGCATATACCAGTTTGAGAATTCCAATCCAACTTCCAAATAAGACAGGGAAGGCATGTTTAACACAGAACTCGTTTCATCGGTGACGATTATGTGAATCAAAGGCACTTTGTACATTTATGACATTTTTTACATTTACAGAGTCATAAAATTGTGCTTTGGGGGAAAATTATTTTCCTTTCAGTAGACACTACCATTACCAACATTATTTACTTAGCTACTAACAACAAACAAACAAGAATCAGCAAAACAAAGGTATATTGTTTTAATAAGCTTCATACGTGTGTCTCACAGACCAATGATTATCTGTAGACACAAACAGTAATATTTTAACTGTGTATTAGTCTTTCAAGCATCTTACTAATACACTGTTGTATTAGTTTGAATATGCACCACATCATACACAAAATGTTATCCACCTCACCACTGAAATCTTCTCTAATCAATACCAATGATTGGGGAAAAAACAGATGAATTGATAACAGAACTGACAACAAAAGTCACTTCAATTACAACATGCCTACAAAAAGCAGGCATTTCATACAGTGCATTCAAACACAAAAGTTTAAGCAAGAAGAACGGAGAAAAAGAGATATAACTAGCAATTGATCAGTACAGACATTCTTTCAGAAAACATTTCTCCACCCCTTGTGGAAAAAAAGATAATTATGTGAGAAGCTTATATTTTTATGAAGCCTGTCAGGAGACAGCTGACAAAGGGCTCTGTGATTTGTCAACACTTATTGAGGATTATACTAATTTAGCACCACAGAACATGAGAATTGCAAATAATTTGTTTCTCATGACTCTAAATGTTTATTTTAAAGTACTTCTGAGAGGAACACTATAAACCAAATTATTTCCATATGCTAAATGATCAAATGAGAAGTTAAAACAAAAATTACTGAACAGGAAATATAAAAGCTTACATGTCCTCCCATGGATATTCCAGTCATCCCTAGCGGTCCATAGCCTTCTCTCTCTAGCCAGTGCAAAAGAGCTGCCGATTCTAGTACAAGAGCTCCTCCCATCACAAACAGGTCCGAGACATTTTTTAAACATGACCGTCTTTTCTCCCCAAAAAAGGAAAATATAGGATTTATTTTCTAGGATTAGATTTGGACAGTTCTCATAATTCTATATATACTTTTATACAAAGCCTGATCACAGTCCCAGAGAATTTTGGAGCTGAACTCCTGATGATTCAACAGGAGAAAAAGCAAGTCCAGATTCTCTGGCACCTGTACTTTTTCATCTAAATGAGAACTAGGAATAAGGCACCTGCTAAGCTTCTAATGTTATGTCACTGACAGTCTGGTCTTCTAGAAACAGATATTACCAACATTAGAATCTCATTGGTAGACATCTTCTGTTATAAAGTATCTTTTAGAAATAGAATCAAAGTGATACAGTCCTAGACATACACTATCTCACTTGCAGAAAAAGTCCTTTTTTTTTTTTTCTTATTTACCTGTTTTACATCACTGAAAAATTGCACACAACATTTGAAGAGCAATCAGTATGTCAGCTTTGGAAGCACTCATCAGTGTCACTGTAAGACTGAAATTGTGAAGTGGGAAGTTTGTCACGGTACTGAGAAATTCATGTAGTACTGCAAAGCATTAAAACACAGAAGAAACAAAGAAAAAAGTAGAAAGCCATTCAACTGAACCATCAGAGGGACTCTAAAAAGTGACCAAAAAAAAAGTGTATTTTACAGAGCAATTAATACACCTCTAACGTGGGGAGGGGGGCTCTGTATTTTCAGTCTCACACAGCCAGGCTACAGAAGGCTCCGGGCCTCTTCTGCCAGCACACAATCTCATTTGAGATACTCTAAAGTGCAAGGACAATGCTTACCGTGCAAGCCGCAGGAGGAATGAACATAGCTGCTGCAGACCAGTATTTATAGGCTAATGTAATTCTTTCCTACAGCTCTGTTATGAGATTCCTCAGCCCTCTCCAGCTGCTATATTTATTAAACACTGTTACTAGCGTATTAACTAAAACCACTGCTGCTGCTTTGTAACCTTGTATTGAAGGGGGACGGTTACTGGTTGGGGTTATTAGACTGAGCACTCTCCTTTCAAAGAATCCTTCTCTACATTGTGCATTATTAAGCTGTCAAGCCAGACAACTGAGAACAGAGTTAGAAATATCCTTGCCAAAATATTTAATTTATTCTTCTGCATCAAATCCTCAGTAACTGGAAAAAAAGCCACCACTGGATGTATTCCAGCACACACTTTCTCCTGTCACTTTCTTATAATCTTACACTTCTAAATGCAATAATCAATATATATGTTTAAACATTTTGCTGTAAAATTGTTTTTTGATAGGAATCACCTTAGTTGGTAAATGTAATCCACTGTTTCCACTAACAAACAAGCAACACCAAATTTATTTACATGTCTGTGGTCCCCTTAAAATATCTTGGAAAAACAGAATCTTAGCAATTATAACAGGCAAGCACACTATCTGAACAAAGATTATTCATAGTTGACTGAAATACAATTGCAGCATTTGTACACGCACAGTTGTGAATCAGGAAAATAAACTGGTATTTGCTTGCATTCCCACTCATCTCACGCTATACTGCAAGTTTATCTGGTCCAAACTTTCCTGATCACTGTGATCTCTTAATACAAAAAATGTCAACGCAGCCTAGCAAAGGGTAGACAATTTCACATTAGCAGGTTACAATTGGTCCCTGCTTGAGACTTTTTTTTCTTAATAAGCTACCAAAGCTTACACCACTTCGAGCTTCTCGAGAAAAGAAGTGGTATTTTGAAAAGACAGTATCTGTGATGTAATGGTAATACTTACAATTGATCCTTAGGTTTTCTACACCCATGTAGAAGACTCAAGTTAAAGAAAGTAAAAAAATTATATATAAAAACTGGTAATTAAAATTAAAAAATAAAGTAAAATTAATCATATACATAAATAGCACAGATTAATTAAAATTTGGGACTTGAATTTCGAATGTTTAACTGGAACTAAATCAAGTTAGATGTAGTTTGATGATGTAGTTCGCAACGTAAGATTTTACCTCTGTCAGGTAGATGAGTAGGAAAAAAGTTACTGATGACAGGACAGAACTTAACTTTTTTTTATTTAAATCAATCTTAAATGGTAGCAGTAAGTTTCTCAAAAGTACCTGAGGTGTCAAAGGGTTGCATCTCAGAAGAGAAGACAGGAGAGGCAAGTCTTTTCTGTCATTAATGCATTCAGAAGTCACACAGTATGATGCAGAATGAATGCATAGTTGCGCTCTGTCATGGCTAAAGGAATCCTATCAGTACTTTGATCGGTACACAGATCCATATCAGAACTTTTATTCTAATAACTACAGTAAGAAGCTGTAGAAGACATTTTTAAAAAACCTCAGAAAAGCGGTACTTGGTGTAAAAGTAGCATGTTACATTAACTGTGTTCCACATTGTGTTTTGTGCAATAGTCATACTTTGTTCTTTGCTTCTGTCCACGGAGAAGTGCACTGGAAATTGATCCACAAGGTAGATATTATACCAGTGATACATCTTCTACCTTCTGGAGAGAACGTTGAGAATAAGTATCTTGCTTTTCGCAAAAGGATATAATAAGGATTTTCTAGCAATAGGGAAGCCATACAGGCTTCTTTAATCATTGGACGTGCCATTAATGTGCGTCTCCTCCAGAAGTGCTAAAGAAAAGATGTACAAAGAGATATTAAGATACAATCTGATTAATTTCTCAATGACAAACGATTTCACATTTTACATACTCACATGATCTCCAGTGCCTGCTAAATGAATGCACACAGGTCTATGCTTGCTATTCCATCTTCTGGGTATGATGAACTGAAATCTATGAGAAACAAACACCTATTTTAGCATAAAGAGTATATTTATTTACAAGCTGCACCAGAAAAATTAATCTTAAAAAAAAAAAAAAAAAAGAGTATTTTTGTAACCTATCCAGGCAAACTGCCTGTGATTCAGCAATATCATTTTTCACAAACACATCCAGCAAAGAAAGGAATCCTGAAGTGGGACAGAATAAATGCCAAACAAGAAAAGGAGCCAAGCTGAAAGATCATGTTCCTAAAAAAGACCACTACCTCATCATCACAAATTAAATATTGCAGAGTAGAGAAATGGAACTTCAGATGAAGAGCAGCCTAAACAAGTATCACTAGCTCTCCTAGGCAGCACTGCTGTTTTTTTCCCTGAGAGCATAACCGCTGAAATTGAAGATTAAGATGAGCAATATATTTTAAGTTTTAAAAAAATCAAAAATTCAAATAAAACCCATGTTGGCTGGTTTTGGCTGGGATAGAGTTAATTTTCTTCATAGTAGCTGGTATGGGGCAACGTTTTGGGTCTGTGCTGAAAACTATTCTATACACTCAACATCAATCACTTAATGTCTTCTGCTGCTACTCAAGTAATTTACAGTCTAACTACTGGAAAAAAAAAAATCCTTCCTGAACCATTAGTATTTTCCCCACAAGATGGAGCACTACAGCAGTGTTACACTTCAGAAAAAAATATTCACACAATGAAGAACGATCTTAAGGGAAAACTGTAGAGCATTTCAAAACTGTAACAATACTGTCCAATGTAGCAATCAGCATAACTTGACTACAAACTGTAAGAGAATATAGATAAGGAAACGATCAGTAGTACATTTTTCAGTATGGTACTAATTATTCCAAGAATGTTAAGAGACAGTTTCATTCTCTAACCAATGGAGAGGTGGAAGGGAACTGATCTTTTGACTATCAAACTTCTGATATTCTTTAGTGTTACATGTTTAAATACACATAAAACCACCAACCAGTAACATCGATAAAACTGACCAGGCCAGTATCAACTTGAACTGACAATCTTTCATGTTTAATTTTTAAATTATTAAACAAAGCTTGGGAAAAAAAAATCCATCATGAAAGCTTTAGCTCTAAACTAAAAGCAGACAGAAATTATGCTCTGTTGTAAAGCAGTGTTAGTATAAAATCAGCAAAAATGCCATTGCGTATCTTCTGATCATTAGGGAACATCCAGCTTTCTGTGAGAACTTTTTTTTTTTTTCAGCTTGCCATGTAAGAAAGACATCAGATTGTCTTGCTGCAATTAAATTAACTTACTACTTCAGTACACATATAGTATTTTCATATTCAGTGTAAAAGGAAGGCTGGAATGGTTCCTTCAAATACAATATAACATGCTTCTTTCATATAACAGCTTCTCCTGCTACATATAAAACAAACAACTACTGTCCTGGCTATAGTATCCCTCATTTCCAGCATCCTGCTTATTTGAAAAAAAAAAAACAAACAATTTTTAAAACCCAAGGTATTCCATAGCTTTGTGCAATACGATTTCTACACTCCCCTCGCAAAGGACATACACATAGATTAAACAATCACATGAGTAACATTTATTTTCTCTTCTGAGATCAAAATCTATTTTGACACAATAGTACAAAAAAAGAGTTTGAAATATTTTACAGATAATTTGTATTACAATAAATTAGCTTCACAATAAAATTACTTGTAGACGATTCTTCTTTCTCTGCAGTACTAGTTTCAGAAAGAAAATACCACTTGGCTTCCCTTACCTTGCTACAAGAGATTCGACTGGCAGGATACCTGGGACATAATGAGCTAACGGGGAAATGAAATGCCCCTCGAGGATTTTACAGTCAGATTGCTCCTCAACCTACAAAGAGAATGGGATGATAGCAGTAAGTTTCACATAAGTGTTTAACTTGCTCAGTTAACAAGCAAATCTCTCAAAGAAGAATTTGTTACAGGACACAAATGTACTTAAAAACCCCAAAGATAAGGTCTATTTCAAACATAGGGATACACATATTATCAGAGTCAAAACATTTGTTTCAAACTTTGCTTTTATTAAATGACCTATAAAAGGAATCAAGGAATAAAGTTTAGTGCTGTCCCATTTTAAACATGCTGTCCCATAATACATACTAAGTTTCAAGCATTTTTTGAGCTTTAAGATCTGACATCCCATCCCCCAACTATTGTATTAGTGGGAAAAACATAAAACAGTATCCATACAGCCACTGCTTTATTTTTCTCAGTTTCATTCCATTCTCCACTAGTAGCTAACATGACCGTTCATTTTCCCATCCCTTCCAACCCCATGTCCTATTTTTGCCATTGTCTCTTAATTCTACCCACTGCAGTTCAATTAAAAAAAAATAAAAATATCAAACCAGCAAACTGTTAATAGTTAAGCTTGCCACATCACAGACCTACAGTACATTTATTTGACTTTAGAACTACTGTTCATTTCTGACCTCCTATTCACACCTTCTGGATTGAAAAGTCTTCAGGGCAACGATTACTTGTATCTGCACACCTCACCTGGAAGCACAGAGCCTCCTTTTCCCAATCAAGAGCATTTCACATTACATTGATTTATTTTACCTCTACAGCCTCACTTCCTCTTCCCTCGCAGATAAATTCTAATGTGCTTGTCTTGATACAGAGCAACAGGGAACACCAGTGAAGTCAGTTGGTGCCATCTGTTAGAAAAGTGGTGACCAGCAAAAGCTAACTGAACATTGTCAGAGGTGCATTCACTACTCCACCTCCATGTACTCCCTCGCAGCAAGTCATGCTAGGATAATGTCAGAGATCAGGAAAATAGATTCACATGACATCAAGATTCAATTCTTCTATCATATAAAAACAGCCTTGTAAGTACTAAGTTGATTTCACTTTTATATACCATCAGGACAATAAATTTTGTTAAACTGCATCATCTCTTGCTTTTAAGTACCTTGTCAATGAACACTGGGTAATCTTTCGAAACCAGCGTCTGGCATTTTTCCCTGTTTCCAATAATTTTTCTGAATTCAAATATTCTGTTGAAAGGAAACAAGTAGAGAAGATTCAACTTTTAATCTAAAAAAAAGAGAAGATATATATTTTTTAAATGTCAGGAGCTAAGTAAGCCACAAAGAAAACAAAATTTACGAATCCAGCTTTGTGTTTACAGATTAATCAGGCTACCATAGGGTAGATAGAGAAGAATGTTTTTGAGTTTAAAAAAAAAAAAAGACTCAGGTACATTACTTGTAGTTGCACAGCTCTTAAATAGTATTTTACACGATATGTTGAATACTTGAAGTCATTTTTCAGTGCCAAATTAAGACATAGCAACCTCCTACACATACACATCCTTGTAGCCACATTGGGGCAATACAGACTGAACAGGTGAAAAACATGCTGTACTGCCAACACCAAAGCGTAGTTGCCAATGATCTGAAGTGTAGCTGGAAACAAGTTAGTAGCAGCACTTCGGGAAGTTCATGAATGACACCAACAGGAGGGTGAGGTTGACAGCTGGAAGGTAGTGCTACCATTTGGAGTGACCTGGATACGCTGGAGGTCAACAAACATGCTAAAGCTCAACAATAAAACTGCAAAGTCTTGCACCTAGGACAGGACAGCCCCATGCAACAATACAGGCTGGGAACTTCCCAGCTAGGTAGCAGCCCTGCAGGAAAAAGGGTGGGGTTTCTCCAGAGTCAGCTGCACATCCTTGCAGCTAAGACCAACAGCATACCCTCCACATTTAGCAAGAGGGCAGCCAGCAGGTCAAGGGAAGGGGGTTTGCACTGCCTGGTGAACAGAAGGCTAAGGGGCAAATCTAGTTGCAGTTTTCTGCCACTTAAATGGGCTGTAGAGTCTTACAGAGAAAATGAAACAAGACTCTTCTCAGAAGTATACGGTGAGAGGACAAGAGGCAATGGTTGCATGTTGCAACAAGAAAATCCTATTGGAACATAGTGAAAGATTTTCTTCACAGTGACAGAAAAGATTGCCCAGAGAAACTGAATAATTTCCATCCTCAAGGGACTTTCAAAACTCAAATGGATGAGGTGCCAAGTGACTTGAATCAGCTAGAAGTTCTCTTTGTTCTGAACAGGGATTTGGACTAGATGCCCTCAAGTTGGCCCTATCAACCTTAAATAGTCTATGATAAGAATAACATGCTCATTCTTATGGTTGTAAATACACACAACAATGTCACCTAAACAACTAGACCAGCACATTTGGGTGGAAAGTATAGATAGAACAGTGTAACTAGCATGACCTGTTCACCTCCCCAACACCAGAGAAAACCAAACCAAAAGGACAAAGAAAATCCAATTTATCACCATATCAAAAATAGTTCTACCATATAGCCTTTGCTTTTCTTATACAGAACGTAAGTACTGCTGAGAAAATAAGAGTAAAGGTATAAGATGTGAGCAAGCAGGGTAAGCTAAATAAAGTTTTGCTTGACACCGAATTCTCAAAAAACACTGCATTTATGTATTTCCTCTGAAGTTAGGATACTAAAGGCTAAATCTTGCACATGTTGAGAATTTCAACTCTTGCTAGTGAGTTGAGGATAAAGCACTAGGATATAAACAGTCATCACCTCAACAGTGTGCACATAAAACTTCAGATTAGATCTAGACAGGGTAGTCTGTAATATCAGCCAAGCTCAGTTAATGTTTGAAGTGTAAGAAATTTAGTAAGTTCTTCTAATGGAGCTTCACAGTGATCAGTTAAAAAAAAAAAAAAAAAAAGACAACACTGACACCGTTTCTGGCATGACAGGGCATGCATACTAGGGAGTGATACTCCCTCCTCCCACCAGCCAGTGTGAGAAGTCATGAAGAGGTGTTCTTCATCCAGGTGAAGCCAGGCTGCTGGGGAACAGTTAATCTTCTTCCCATTCAGGGAAATACCTAGAACAAATTCTTCTTCCACTTTCCAGACCACCAAGCCTGCCTCACATTTCCCCCACACATTTTGATCTCATGTGAGAGGTTTATTCCCCACTATGGAAAAGGAAGAGCCATAGTTGATACCATTATTACTATTTATTTACTACTGTTTGACATTAGTGTGATTACCCTTATAGACCTCATACAAGAGAAAAGCCTTGCCTACCATTGCAATAGCTGACAGTAGAATTAGTCAGAAGTTCCCCTATATAGATAACAACTGTGTTGAGGAGAGATGGGGATGGAGGGGAGTGAAACTTCATCATGTCTCACCAATAACCTAAAAGTTTTTAAGAGATGGTTTTGATAACATTAAAATGTTCAGATACATACACACAACCAGAAAACAGAAATGCTGCAATAAAATTAAAAGCACACTTTTTTTTGCTTATTCCAACAAAAGTAAACATTTTAAAAATATAGCATTCTCATTCTGTAGGAAAGTCTGCTACTTCAAAAAATCAGCTGAAGACATACAAAGCAATCCAAGTGCCATTGCTACATGAGATGTTTCACTTGGATTTAAAAATGAAAGACACCCCCCCCCCTAACTCCACTGCCAGAGTGAACAAAATTTTCCTTCAGTATCTTGTTTTAAATTTTATTTATTGATTTTTCAAATACATAAGAATTAGCTTATTAAATGCAGATTTATAATTTCCTAATTAAATATTACATAATCCAGAATATATATATTCAGTCACTTCATTTTTAAACTTAAGAAATGCAAGTTGTCAACTTCCAGGTGTTACTCCTAAGAACAACTAATAAAAAAAATCAGCAAATATTTTAAAATTAAGAGGTATTTCCATTTTTTTTCTTATTTTCAAAGCATCTGAAAAGAATGAGTTAATTACTTTGGGCTACAAGAGAAATTTTTCATTACATCTTATACTTTTAAAGCTCATTATTATTAAGCAGATACAGAAAGCTAGCAAGATCCTCTTTAACATTAAACTGAACAATTCCTCTGCAAAAATTCAGCAAGTCTGGTGTTTAGAAAACACTTTCAGAGATGCTGCCTGAAATACGTTATCATATACGCACAAGTGAAAGACTTTTCCTCCCTTGCTATGGAAACACATGACTTCCCGAACAAAAGAAACTATAACACATCTGGGCAGGGTTTTTTTTAAATACAGGATAGTAACAACTGTTGGTACTTCAAAGGTTGTTTTTTAATTTTAATAGAAACTACTATTTATGTTGTTATTTTTCAACAAGTCACCTTTTCAGATCCTCTGGCTTTCCCCATCCTCTGATGAAAAGTTTAGTGAGGAGAAGCTTTCTGTACAAGACATCTAATTTACTTACACCCATTAGCAGCAAAATGACATCTAGAAAAAAGAACAGATAAAAACAAGGCAGTTAAAGGGCTTAACTTCAGTGGCAAGTTCATTAATTGTTACACAAAGTAGGTTCTTATTCTCGTATTTATATTAATGAAAAGCCATACCGGTTTATTCCGAGGAATCTAACCTTGACACTCAGGTCAATTCCTTCCATTTTAAACAAAATAAAGGCAGTTAATACAAACTTTAGTTTTTTTAAGAAACTGGAATTCAGGAGTAGGAATTTAACATGCCCAATATAACCAGAAATTTATTACATAATTGATGACAAGTTAACTAAAGAGGCACACAAGGTCACAGAACTACACCTTCAGCAAGTCCTAACTGCATCTTACTTGAACTGATAAAACAAAGAGCAGCATTGATCTCTGTCCTGTCAATACAGCTGTGATGGCAAAAAACTTTTCAGCCAACATGGGCTTTCATAAACACATCCTGGAATGAAAGCTTGAAACAGTATTTGGTTTTAAACTAGAAGACTAGATCTCTAGCTATGTAATTACTAGTTTACATTAAAAAAAAAAGAGTAGCTCCCATCACTGATGCACAGAAAGCTTATTTTTGTAAACTTGTCTTCACTGGTGTCTCAAACATATACCCTAACCCTTATTTTTTCCACTCCTTTACAGTTTTTGACAGCTCATTTCTTATGGTTTTGAAAGTGATGCTCCTGCTGCCTTCAGGATAAAAACAAAAAGATTAAAAAAAAAATAAATCACACCATCAAAATCTTTGCCAGTATCATTTACCTTTCAGCAAATACACTACCTCAAATATAGCTAAAGCCAACAAGATTTTAGACAAGCTAAGTATTATTTTCAAAGCAGTACTTACTGAAGTGAACAGGGAGCCACTACTGTCCTTTTCCAATGAGGAAGTAAGTAAAACCAGAAAAAAAAATCTGGTTTCTTGGTCAGCAGGATACAGGTTATTCAACTAAAAAAAGGTCCAGGACCTGTGTACACCTAAGAAAACAACAGATTTAATAATCAAAGACTTGATTAGTAAGTTACCTTCAACTATTTTATAGTATTTCCAGATCCCTCCATACTAAATGGTCTAAATAACTTCATCAGACTCCAAAATAATGTAATTAATGTGGTTTTTTTTTCATTTTAAACCAAAGTTCATTTATTCTGCCACACTTTGATACAGTCATTCTTCAGATAAACTTGTCTGAACATAACAAGTTAAAATTGTGGTCAGATTAATAAATACATTCCTTTGCATTTCTGAAAAGCCAATACTTAGAATTAATATACAGAAAAAAGAAAATCACTAACACCTCAAGTAAGTTACTTTCAAAACAGAAATTACAGACATTGTAATGTACTTCAACACTTCCAGCTGACTGTGATCTTATTACTCTGATCCGTATCTGTGTGGTCTAATAGAATCACACCCTCAACACAATCTTTTTCCTTGCCCTCTCTTGAGATATCCATGTGCCATTGGGCAGTCAGATGGGAAATGTTTGCCAGTCTCTGCAAGGTCCACCCTCTGCTTTTTGGAGCAGGGAGACAGCTTGGTGTTTTCCTGATGCTAGAAGAGAACTGGGTGGTAGAGTCAGGGACAGCAGTGCAGAGAGGCCCCTCTACAAGGCCAGGAAGACAGTTTAGAGTGAATGCACGTAAGTAAATCTGTGCTGTCAAAAATATACTAAAACTAGATTTGCAGTTCTATCAGTATACCGCTTACCAGTAATTGTGAAAAAAACTTTAATAAATGTTTTGATGTTTCACAAAGAAGCCTTGCATGCTTTGTTCAGTTGTTCTTTGGGGTTGGGGCTTTTTTCCTCTTTTTTTTTTTGTTGTTTTTGTTTTGAAAAATCCTCTCCAAAATAAAAGCCAAGTAAGAGAGAAAACATGAAGATGTTGATTTTGCTGAGAGCTTGAAGGCTGGCATGATGAGCTCTCTCTGTTGCACCAAAGGAATGTCAAAACAAGTTTCTAGACGAGTACATTATATTTAAATGCAACATTGATTGAGGTGAAAGGGTTGGCTCATCCTGCATTGTATTTCATTGATTGAATAAAGGCTCTAAAGTAATTCAGGATATTTCAATTAATCAGATTCCAAGATTAAACCACTACTGGAAAGAGTACAGGAAACACTATAACAAAGAAATATTTCAAGTACATGAAGTATGTTGCATAGAAATTCTCAGAAATATTACTGAGAGAAAGTAGGGGTCATTCTCCCATTTTGTTTATCAAAAGGGTAGGCCATGCTTCAAGTCACTGCCCATCAGTTTACATGGAAAGACAGTTACAAATACTTTTACTGTCAGAAAATGCAAACCCAACTGCTGGAGGCTGAAGTTTTGTAACTTCACAGCAGAAGAATGTATTTTAACAGTGAGAGTTTGAACTTGAAAAAAGAATCAGCAGAGCTTGTTCCAGAATGTGTCTGGATTTCCACCACTTGATACGTATGTGTCACATCACAATCCCTTTCTAAGACAGGTCAGCTGAAAGCAGTGACCTGAGAGATACACACAACCTGCATAGTTGTGTAGCCCAAGAAACTGCACCTGTGTTAGCAATATTCAACAAGTATATTGTTAACACAGTAAGCTTTACATAACTGTAAATTGTGAATAGAAATTGTAGCACATACAAAAGCATATTAAGAAGTGATCCACTAAAAAAACCCAAACCCCAACCTATATTTTAAAATAGTATTTTCCAGACAAGAAGACAAGGAAACCTAAAGATAAATTATAACTAGGCTTTTGCTCTATGAAGTGTTTTTCTGTGCTTCCAGAATCCTCATACTGCACAAGTTTTTGGTGTGTACACTTATTTCATAGAAACAGACCCAAAGATTCATCCAAACCCCAACATATAAAAGGTCAGCTATTCCTTTTTATCCAGGGCATGCAGCTTAAGTTACAAGAACACCACCACTGGAAAGTACATAAAGACTTTATTAAAAGGCCCAGTCTACTGCTTCTTTACATGGAAAAAGAGACAGCTCCCACCAATAAGTCAATCTGAAAAAGCCAAAAAGGTCTATCTATTTTACACGGTTGACTCCTTAACTTCCCTGTCCTATTACTTCTTTATTTCAAAAAAATCTCTCTTCCAATTAACGTGGGGCCATGCTTTTTTTTTTTTTCTTTTCCCGCCAACAGAAGAAAGATTGCTTAAAAGAAAAAAAAAATCAAAATCAAAGAATTCACGGCGACAAGTCAGAAACAAGCCCCACAACCCTTTCACGCGGTGGGATGCAGAGAAGCCCGCGGATAAACAAAGCGGCCTAAGGAAGAAGCGTTCCACCGAGGGCCGAGCAGCTCCCTGCCGCTGCCCACCTGCCCTTCCTCCGCTCGCCCAGCACTCGGCTACCCGCGACGGGGAGCCTCGCCCCAGCGCTTACCTGTCCAAAGTGCAGAGCTCTACAGACGGTGCCGTGGCCGCCGCCACCCCCCCGGCGCCTGCGGAAACCCCCTCAGGCCGCCCCCAGCGGGACCCCACCGCGGGAAGGGGCGGGGG